GAGCCCCCAAAATGTTGGGTTCCCCTTCACCAAGGCTCCCCCAACCCAAGTCAGGGATAACGCCACCCGAAATCACTCACGAAAGACGTCTCTTGATGCAAAAGCAGGAGGAGTTTATTCGGAGTTCCAGCGCGCTGGGGCTCCACTCATATCCCATGCGGGGGCAGAGGAGTGGAGCCACGTTTGTTATTCTTGATGATACCATTTTTCCTTGGATTCACTCATTCTCATCTAATAATTCTTAGTTACTTTTAAAATTCTTCTTTTCTTTTTGTATTTATCCTCAAGTGTTTTGGCTTTTACTTTTTTTTCTCTTTAAACACCTGCTTTCTCTGGTGGAGCTTATTTACTTTCATGGTTTCAAATATATATATATATCTACATACACACACACACATTCATTTTTCCCTCTAAATATTTAAGTGCACATCTCATTCTAACCCACGTATACTTATATGCTTATTTGATGTCTCCATCTGGATGTTAGACGAGCATAACCAACCATCTTAAAATACCAAGATCCGAAATCACAGTTTCTTTTCATTCTAGACCTGATTTTTTTTTTTTTTTAAGAATCATTTAAACAGAAGGAAAATTCATCATGCACACAAATATTTGAGTTAGAATCTTGAGAACATTTTTATCATTCTTTCACTTCCTGCAAGTAATCCCTGGATAAGTTACACTGATTCTATTTCCTTAATCTTTTTTTTAAAATCCTCCCTTTCTCCATTTTTTTTATACCAGTGCTTTTGTTCAGTATTTTTTTAAAACAAGTCTCCTTATATCTAACCTTGCCTATCTTCAGTTCATCTTTTATGCTGCCAGTAGAGTTAGTTTTCCACATGTATATTTGATTATGTTAATATCCTGCTTAAACCCAAATCAAGCTCACTGCTGTTGAGTTGGTCCCGACTCATAGCGACCCCTCCTTGGGTTTCTGAGGCAGTATCTCTACGGAAAAACTCAATGCTATCAAGTTGAGTCTGACTCATAGCGACCCTATAGGACAGAGTGGAACTTTGTCATAGGATTTACAAGGCTGTAATTCTTTATGGAAACAGACTGCCTCATTTTTCTCCCATAGAGGGGCTGGTGGGTTAGAATAGTTAAAGCATGGGTCAACAGCTCAATACTTTAGTCACTACACCACCAAAGCTTCTTAAAAAACCTTTAATACTTACCCCATTGCCTCTATCATAAAGTCTATTGCTAAGTACTCTGTGATCAGCCCCCCTTTACCCTCTAGGCTCCCATCTCTCCTGTTTGCCCTCCTTGTGCTCTGGTCATACTATATTTGCCATATTCTTGAGTTGAAAGCCCAGTTTCATGCATCTTAGTGATTTAATTTTTAAATTTTAGAATATTTATTGTGGTGAAATATATATGACAAAATATTCTAACCATTTTACATGTATAGTTTAATGACATTAATTGCATTATATCCATTTCTAAATTTTTTATCACCCATAACAAAAACTCTGTACCACTTAAGCTTATTTATTTTAATACCAACAAATAGTTCAGGGTTTTATATAAAATAGGTACTCAATAAATCTTGAATGTATGGGCAAATGAGTTAATGAAAGATATATATTAGAAAACGTGTATTTTAGATATCCTAATTTCATTTGCAAATATGGTTGTATGTATGTTCTTTTGCATTATCAGCATTTAACTGGTAGAATTAGGTAGTAAGTAACATTTTCTACTGACTTTCTCTCCACCTTAACTCTTGAAGACCCCTTTGATCATTATAGATGATAACTTTAAAATCTCATGGTGACTGTTTTAGAATAAGTACTCTACACAACTACATTTTTCTGAGGTTTGCCAAATTTTATGGTGACTTTTTTCTCTCAGAGGTTTAGGTATAAAAGATCTTAGATAATTCTAAGAAATGACAAGGAAAAAAATATTTTATTTCCATCAATGGTGTCTCCATTGTAGATAGTTAACCTTGTTTAATGTTCAGAAGGGGATGAAGACAGTATTGTAAAATGTAATAGCATTAAAATAAATGTTCTTGTTTATTTCTCTTTAAAGGGAACAAACGGAAAAATTTCTATTACTCAGGACAAGAATTACAGTATATTTATTTCATTCACTCACTGTGCCTTTTAGGAAGGTTATTGGTCTATACTCAAGGCAGAAAGCTATTTCCTATAAAGTTGAAGAATAGAAAAGGTAAGTGAAATTAGGAGAAATGAATATATTCATATATAATACTATGTTCATAAGATTTATAAGCTCTGGCTCTGCATATAGGATTATTATTATATACAGGTTGTATAGACATGCAATGTATACATTTATCTGAGAGCTAAGTGCACAAAATTAACATGATGTATATTCATAAAAAATTCTTTTAGAAACATACTTTTTATACAGTGTGAATATAAATTATATAAATGCTAATTTAGTTCAATAATCCCATTTCTATGGGTTATTAAAATTTGGAAATTTGGCCTGTTTTTTTCTAAGGTAGGTAGCTTCGTCCCTTTTAGTCCTGACTGTAGGACAGTCTTTATGAATACTCAGAAGTGTAGGTGAATGGTAGCTTAGCTAAATTTTTATGAATTATAAGCGTATGTTGTTGTTGTTATTGTTATGTGCCATCGAGTCAGACCTGACTCATAGCAACCCTTCCTTGGGTTTCCGAGGCAGTATCACTATGGAAGTAGATTGCCCAACCTTCCTTCCGAGGAGTGGCTGGTGGGTTTGAACCGCCAGCCTTCTGGTTAGCAGTCAAGTGCCTTAAGACTAATTTTTCTTTTTTTCTTTTTAAAGATTCAGTATCCCTTATAGATCTGTTGGTTCTATTTACCCAGCTTATCTATTATTCACCAAGTTGTCCAAAGATGACATCAGCTGCACATTCAGGTAATTTTGCTTCTAGTTTAAATTGAATAATAGAAAACATCTAAAAGTATTAAAGGATTCTGTTGTCTAGATGTTGTCAATGACTGAATTTAGTAAATAGCTTTCATGAAGATTACTCATAAAAAATTACATTGGTCCTGGAAGTAAGCCATGAAATTTAATTTTGCTCATTGATATTTTAAGATACTCCTAGTTTGCTGCCTTTTCATTTATAATCAATTTCACTGAGAATTTTAATATTCTTTTGTAATAGTTTGAATGGTAGCTACTAATGTGATCTATTTTGCTACTCTGTTGTGTCTGTATACCTGAACAATTTGATAAGCTTACTTTTTTATTTGCTGACATCCAAAACATCAGTCTTTATCAGAGGTTTTTTTTTTTTTCCAATTAAAAAATAAAGCCAAAAACCTTCCTATTTTTTTCAGTGAAATGCCTTTTAATCTTATGGCTATTGATTGATTTATGAAAATGTTTTACAGTGCTCACACTCAAAAGATAACTTTGACAGTTTTTTTCTTTAAATAATCATTTTCAGAATAAGGCATTCAATAACAAAACACTTTCATAACCTTAGAATCATAATTCTCTAAACTGGAAGCTACCTTAAAAATACTGGCATAAATTCTGAGAGGATCTCAAGTGAATCAAAAAAAAAAAATCATGCTTTAATGTTGTAATTCATTTATCAGCTCTTGTTGTTGCATGCCTCTGATGCTATTCCAACTCATAGCAACTCTCCATGACAGAGTAGAACTGCCCAGTAGGATTTCCTTAATCTTCACAGGAGCAGATTGCCAGGTCTTTCTTCTGCAGCAATGCTCTGTGTGTTAGAACCTCTAATTTTTCAGTTAGTAGTGGGTGCTTAGTCATTGTACTACTAGGGTCCTTATTTATCAACTAGTCCGTTTGATTTACTGAGCCCTAGTAGCACAGTGAGTAAAGTGCTTGGGTGCTAACCGATAGATAGGCCCGTGGTTCGAACCTACTGAGTGCTCTTTAGGAGAAAGATGTGGCAGTTGGTTTCCATAAAGATTTATAGTCTTCAAAACTCTATAGGGAAGTTCTACTCTGTCCTGCAGGATCACAGTGAGTTGGAATCAACCTAATTGCATGCACAATGATGACAGGTTTTATCTATGCAGTTAGAACAGGCTATTAATTCTAACAGTGGTTTTGAGGCTTTATTCTGCCTTTATAGTATTTACATGTATGAAGTTCTAGTTTAGGTCCACTAGCCATGTACTTCTACAATATTCTATACGTCCTGTATCATAAAAATCGTCTTTCTTTACTATAATTATTTGTTAATAGCTTGGTTTATAGTCTCTTGGATATTTTAATTGCATTTATTTGTCTACAATGCCTCGTATAGTATCTGGCATATGTAGACACTCAGTAAATAATACATGATTAGATGACATAAAGACTATATGCTCATCAATAATATCTCTTATTGTACACATTTCTCATCTAGAACAGGTTGAAAATCACTGAACTTCCTTTTCATTTTGTTTTTATCAAGTACTGACTTGAAGTCTTCCTGTATTCATGGCATACAGAATGTTTTCGTTGTTCGCTGCCATTGAATCAGTTGTGACTCATACTGACCCTGTGTACAACACAATGATACACTGCCAGTCCTGCTCCACCCTCACCATTGTTGCTGTGTTTCAGCCCATTATGCGGCCACTTTGGCCACTCTGTCAATCCATCTCAGCGACTGGTCCCTCCTCATAACATGTCCAAAGTAAGTGAAACAAAGTGTAGTCATCCTTGTGTATAAGAAATACTCTGGCTGTACTTCTTCCAAGATAGTTTTGTTTGTTCTTCTGGCAGTCCATAGTATATTCAGTATTCTCTGCCAACACCATAATTCAGAAGTATCAACTCTTCAATCATCCTTTTTCATTGTCTAGATTTTGCTTGCATATGAGCAGTTGAAAATACTGTGGCATGAGTGAGGTACACCTTAGTCCTCAAAGTTACATCTTTGCTATTTACCACCTTAAAGAGGGCTTTTGCAGGAGATTTACTGAATGCAGTACGTCTTTGATTTCTTGACTGCTGCTTCCATGGGCATTATGGATCCAAGTAAAATGAAATCTTTGACAACTGCAATGTTTTCTCCATTTATCATAATGTTCCTTGTAGGTCCAGTGAGCATTTTTGTTTTCTTTATGTTAAGGTGTAATACATATTGAAGCCTGTAGTCTTTGATCTTCATCAGTAGTACTTCAAGTCTTCTTCACGTTTGGAAGCAAGATTGTATCATCTGTATATGTTGTTGTTGTTAGGTGCCATCGAGTCGTTTCCGACTCATAGCGACCCAATGCACAGCAGAACTTAACACTGCCCGATCCCACGCCAGCTCCATGATCCTTGCTATACTTGAGCCCATCATGACAGCCACCATGTCAATCCATCTCGTTGAAGGCCTTCCCCTCTTTCATTGACCCTCCACCCTACCAAGCATGACATCCTTCTCCAGGGAATGGTCCCTTCTGACAACATGACCAAAGTAGGTGAGACGAAATCTGGCCGTTCTCGCTTCCAAGGAGCATATTGGGTGCACTTCCTCCAGGATAGATCTGTTAGTTCTTTCAGCAGTCCATGGTACTTTCAGCATTCTTCGTCAGCACCACAACTCAAAAGCATCAACTCTTCTTTGGTCTTCCTTATTCATTGTCCAGCTCTCATATACATATGAGGCAATTGGAAATATCATGGCTTGTGTCAGGCGCACCTTAGTCCTCAAGGAGACATCCTTGCTTCTCAGCACTTGAAACAGTTCCTTCTTGGTTGACCTTTCCAGTGCTACACATTGTCTAATGTCCTGACTGTTGCTTCCATTGGCATCAATTGTAGAACCAAGCAACGTGAATTCTTTGACAAACTCAGTCTTTTCTCCATTTATCATGATGCTGCTTATTGGTCCAGTTGTGAGGATTTTTGTCTTTTTATACTGAGATGTACTCCATACTGCAGACTGTTCCTCCATCTTCATCAGTAAGTGCCTCAAGTCATCCTCACTTTCAGCAAGCAAAGTTGTATCATCTGCATATCTCAGGTTGTTAATGATTCTTCCTTCAATCCTGATTCCACATTTTTCTTCATATAGTCCAGCTTCTCGGATTATTTGCTCAGCATGTAGATTGAATAAGTGTGGGGAAAGGATACAACCCTGACGCACTCCCTTCTTGATTTTAAACTACATAGTGTCCCCTTGTTCTGTTCAAACGACAGCCTCCTGGTCACAGTACAGGTTACTCATGAGTACAATCAAGTGTTCGGGAATTCCCAGTCTTCTCAGTGTTATCCATAATTTGTCATGATCCACACAATCAAATGCCTTTGCATAGTCAATAAAACACAAGTAAATATCTTTCTGGTATTCTTTGCCTTGAGCCAAGATCCATCTGACAACAGCTATGATATCCCTTGTCCCATGTCCTCTTCTGAATCTAGCTTGCACCTCTGGAAGTTCTCTGTCAATATACTGCTGCAACCATTTTTTAATTATCTTCAGTAAGATCTTAACTTGCATGCAATATTAATTATATTGTTCTACAATTTCCACATTGTGTAGGATCACCTTCCTTTGGAGTGGGTACAAATATGGATCTCTTCCAGTCAGTTGGCCAGGTAACTGTCTTCCAAATCTCTTGGCGTAACTGAGTGAGTGCCTCCAATGGGGCATCCGTTTGTTGAAATATCTCAATGGATAATCATCTGTATATAGCAGGCTGTTAATGAGTCTTCCTCCAATCCTGATAACACATTCTTCTTCATGTAGTCCAGCTTCTCAGATTATCAGCATGCAGATTGGATAATTATGGTGAAACAATACAATAACCATGATACACACCTTGCCCGATTTAAACTGTACAGTATCTGTTTTGGTTACCTAGTGCTGCTCTAACAGAAGATATACCACTAATAGAAAGGCTTGAACAAACAGGAGTTTATTCTTTTACAGTTGTGGACTTTAGAAGTCCAAGTTCAAAGTGCCGGGCTCTAGGGGCTGGGTGAAAACACTTCAACCTTGGCCTTCAGCTCTGCCTCCTGCTCCAGGCCCACTGAAGGTAGACACTTTTCTTCACTGAGATAGCTGCTAGCTGCTGAGGCTGACATGCGAAAAGGTACAGTCCCAGTGTTACCAAATGACACAGCAGGCTACTAATTGAAATCCAGAAGAAGACCTAAGATTAGCAGGGCAGGGCAGGCTGCTGACCAGTGATACCACACATGCAGGGTTCAGGTGTGCCAAAAAGCTGGTGATCTTCCTCAAAGTTGTTTCTCATATACTGAAAGCAGCCCACATCCCTAAAGCAGCTACTCAGCTGCTCCAGTAGATTCCACCACACAGTTTACCAGTCTCACCATGGGGAATAACTACAACCAACTGCTCAGCCATTCAACCATGCCTAGCCAAGTAAACATACAACCTTAACTACCACAGTATGCCTTTGTTCTGTATGAGCAACTGCCTCTTGGTCTGTTTACAGGTCCCTCATTGAGCACCTTAAGTGTTCTGAAATTCCCATTCTTTGCAGTATTATCCATAATTTGGTATGATCTACACAGGTGAATGTTATTGTATTACCAATAAAACACAGATAAACATCTCTCTGGTATTCTCTGCCTTCAGTTAAACTCCATCTGATAAGAATAGTGATAATCCTCATTTTACTTCCTCTTCTGAGTCCAGCTGGAATTCCTGACAGCGCCCTGTCAGTGTACTGCTACAATCATTTTTGAATGCTCTTTAGCAAAATTTTACTTGTGTGTGATGTTAATGCTATTGTTTGATAATTTCTACATTCTCCTGGATCACCTTTTTTTCAAAATGGATACAAATATGGATCTCTTCCACAAATATGGCTGGCTAGTGGTCTTTCATATTTCTTGGCCAATTTCTGGAGTGTTATTTTCACCCATGCTTTCAGCTCAGCTTGGACTTTTTTCTACAGTGTTACTGGTTCTTGATCATATGCTACCCTTGAAATGGATGAACCTTCACCAATTTTTTTTGGTCGAGTGATTGTATATATCCCTTACATATTCTTTTGATGCTTTCTGCATCAATTTTTGTTCAAAATTTTCCCATAGAATCCTTCATTATTGCAACTTGACACTTGAATTTTTTCTTCAGTTGTTTCAGCTTGAAAAATGCCAAGTGTGTTCTTCCCTTTATTTTTCTAACTGCAGGTGTTTGCACATTTTATTGTAATACTTACTTTGTCTATTTGAGCTGTCCTTTAAAATCTGTTCAGTTCTTTCTTCTTCATTTCTTCCATTCAGCTTAGCTACTCTACATTTAACAGCAAGTCTCATAATCTCTTCTGACATCCATTTTTGTCTTTTCTTTCTTGTCTCTTTAATGACCTTTCGATTTCTTCATACTTGATTTCATCCCACAACTCCTCTGGTTTTCGGTCATTAGTGTTCACTGCATCAAATCTGTTCCCCAGGTGGTCTCTAAATTCAAGTAGGATATACTCAAGTTTGTGCTCTATTTCTTTTGGACTTGTTTTAATTTTCTTCAGCATAACCTTGAACTTGTGTATAAAGAATTGATGGTCTGTTCAGCATTCAGCCCTTTATCTTTTCTGACTGAAGAGATTGAGTTTCTCCATCATCTCTTTCCACAGATATGGTTGATATGATTCCTGTGTATTCCATGTGCGTAGTTCTGTTTACATTTTTGAAAAAATTGCTTGAAGTGAATGTTGTTAGTTTTGGAAAATTCTATTGTGTGATCTCTGTTGTCCTTTCTATCACCAGAGACATGTTTTCCAGCTACTGACCCTTCTTCTTTGTTTCCAGTTTTTGCATTCCAATCACCAGTGATTAACAATGCATCTTGATTGCATATTTGATCAATTTCAGACTGCAGAAGTTGGTAAAAATCTCCAATTCGTGTTTGGTGTCAGTGGTTTTTGCATAATTTGAACAATATTCACATCAGCTGCTCTTTCTTGTAGGCTTATGTATATATATTGGATAATTTTTGAGATGTTCTTTTGATGATGATTGGAACCCATTCCTCTTCAATTTTTTATTTCCAGCATAGGAGACACTATGACTCTCTAGTTCAAAATGGCCAATAACAGTCCATTTCAGCTCAGTAATGCTTAGGATATTGATCTTTATTTGTTCCAATCCATTTTGATCATTTCCCATTTTTCTAGGTGCACACACACAGTTTTTACATTCTACATACCAATTATTAATATATATTTACAGGTGTGTGTTCTCATTTTGAGTGACTGTATCAGCAGATGAAGGTCCTGAGAGCTTTACTTTATGCACATCAAGTTCAACTTTACTTTGAGAAAGCAGGTCTTCCACAGTTGTATTTTGAGTGCCTTCCAACCTGATGGGTTCATCTTCTGGCAGTATATCAGACAATGTTCAGCTGGTATTCATAACATTTTCCTTGGCCAGTTTTTTTGGAAGTAGGTCTCCAGGTCCTCTTTCCTAGTTTGTCTTAGTCTAGAAGCTCTGCTGAAACTTGTGTGGCATGGGTGGCCCTGCTGGTATTTGAAATTCTGGTGGCATAGCACCCAGCATCAGAACAACACACAGGCCATCATAGCAGTACAAACTGGCAGACAAGTGGTGGTCCTGGAGAGAAGGGGTGGTTTATTTCACTCACAAAGTACCTGATACACAGTAGGTATTAGCAGGTGGTAGTAGAATGCATGTTGAGAGAATGAGTTCTTGCTCAAATGCCATGAGCTCCTTATGCAGAGATCATACCTTTGAGTCCCTTGTGACTGCACATAGCAAGTGCTCTGTAGCTGTAGCTGAATATATGCAGAAATGAGTGAAAACACCACAGTGTTTCTTAATTATTTTTTGGAAACAGTTTCTCAAACTTTCTCAAAGTTTCTCAAAACGTTTCAAAAACAATTTAGACAACTTTTCTCATGAATCATTTGAGAGTACAGATCTGAGGCCCCTTACCTCTTACAGATATAAGGGTATTCTAGCATCACAACACCATGCAAGCCAGCACAGTACAAAAACTGACAGATTAGTGGTGGGAGTAGAGACTATCGTAAGATAAATGAAAAATTTTGGTGCTAGCCTTGATAGTGTATTTTACTAGGACATCCTTACTCACAGTACTTTGTTTTGGTTCCTTATTTTCCTCAATTGTTGTTGTGAGGATATATGAGGTTACATATCTGAAGTATATTAATTATGAAACTAAATATATATATATATATATATATATATATATATATATATATATATATCTCCTTCAGGAGCCATGCCTAGTGTTATATTTATGTGTGTATGTCTTACCTGTATTCCTTTACATATTTTAAATTAAAATATGTAAAATGCTCTTTCTTTTCATTGCATTTGTAGTAACAGGAGAATATACTAGTCTCCATAAACGTTTACCCTTTTCTCTGCTTCCTTTTTGGTCACTGATAGTCTGTTTTAATGATTCTGGATTGATTTTCTCGTGGGCTTAACATGTGAATTTAGTGTTTAAGAAAAAGAAAGAAAGTGAAAAGAAGTAAAAATGTTTGCTAGGAAGAGAAAAGAGTTTTAAGTTTGCTTCAAACCCTATCTTCAGTTGTGCAGTGATTTGACATTAGAGTGAAATGCTCTTATGTTCTTGTCTTTTGTCATTTATATTTGTTACCATTTACTTGCTTTTTATTAACGTGAAAAGCTATATTAAGATAATTGATAGCCCCTTAAGCTTCAGGTTATAATTTTGATAATATATCATCCTTTGGAAATTGAGTTGTGATTTTTGTACTGTTTTATTGACCTTGATATTGAATTTTTTTGGATCAGCAATACATAATAAAGCAAAAATAAAAAGTACTAAGTATTTAATCATTTTTTTAATATTTAAAAGTGGTTTTTGTTTTTCAGAGAATTACTCTCCTGCAGGTATGGTCACTGAAGTTCTACAGATACTCTGTGATCAAAAAGAATGTGCAATGGAATGCTTATATAACAGTACTGTGATAGAGGCACTTCTTCAGCCTATTCATAATTTAATGAAGGGAACTGAGGTTGGTATTATATACTAAAGAGTTAATAGAATCTCTCTGAACTAGGTATTAATGAATATTCAATGACACTTTATTTATAGACTTGATTTATTTGAAATACTACTACATTACAACTTATTTCCACATATGAATGTATTTTGTACTGATAAAAATTTTTATTCATATTTAAGTAATAGTTTATGCAGTCAGTTGATTTGTTAGTTATGACAGTGATGGTGGTGGGGGAAAAGTACATGTAACATTTAAAAATTTTTTTCCAGTCAGTTTTAGATCTGCTGATGTGAAGACCTTATATGAATTCTGTTCTATTCTATTAAGAAGCTATTTGTTTTACAGACCTGATGAATTTTGCGGATTTTTTTTTTTTTTGCTTTAATGGTAATTTTATAGCCTTTGGAAATAGTTATTTTACCAAGGATCCAACTCTGTTTAATATTAAGAAGAACTATTCCTACTTTACAGAGCCCTGGTGGTGCAATGGTTAAGCACTTGGCTGCTAGCCGCAGGTCTGTGCTTGACCCTGTCAGCTGCTCCACAGGAGAAAAGACAGGATGATCTGCTGTAGCCTAGGAACCCTCATGCGGCAGTTCTCCTCTGTCCTGCAGTGCTGATATGAGTCAGAATCGACTTGACAGCTTACAACAGCGTTACTTTAGAAAGAAAGCTAATTTACAATTCCAGTTTTGAAATACATACATTTCTTTATATTTTCACAGTATATTCCTTTACATGATATAACTTTAATCCTCACAACTGAGGCTGAAAAAAGTGATTTGCTCAAGATCACAGATTCAACAAGTAACAGATTTAGTATTATGACTATAAGCCTTGTTCTCTTAATATATCCTTCTATTTCTGTGACTTCTGGAAATGACTTTAAAAGCTCATCAATAAGCTAATGTAGTGCTTTTGCTAATTTCATTTCTCTTGTATCCCTGTCTCTTAAAGGGCCATGCAGTTGCCCATCCATTCATGCATTCATTACTTATCACTCATTCAGAAAACATGTATTAAGTGTGTGAATTTACAAAGTATGGCATTCTGGGTGATTAGTAAGTGAATATGTGATAAATTATAGGCAACCTTGGGAAAATAAGCTAAGTAGAGAGGAAACAAATAGAATTCTTACTACATAGCTTAATATAATAGAAAGTTGTAATATCAATATCATAGTAAAATATAAATTATATATTAGTGCAGAGAAATGTCTTACATCATAGTTACCACTTGTATCTTTGCTTTTGTACATTTTTAACTTTCTGTTTTCTTTTCATGTCTTCCCTTTACCTAAAAACATGCTCATAATTGTGACAGGGCATCTCTTGACTACTCAGTGTTCATCTTTAGCTATCACCTAGTATCTGATCTTTTTAATGGTTGGACTTTTGATTGACTTGGTTACTGTCATTATTGTCTTGATTCACTTGCCTCCTAATCATTTTTCAGATTATTGCATTATGATTTGCCTCCATCCCACCATTACTCTGCTCTTGGCCATACCTTCCTAAATAGGTAATTAGTGATTTTTCAGAAAAGTGTTTACCTGGTCTTTAACAGTTGACAGCTTTTGAGGTTCTCTTTACTTGACCTCATAAAATTATTCCTTCTAATTTTATTTTCCTTTCCTTCCTGATCTTTTTTTTCACCTCATTCACCTCTGAGGTTGCCACTTTCAGGCCCCTGGGGAGGTTGGGATTTAGTTAACTTTTCTTTTCTCTCTGTACATATTTATTGGTTCATTTTCTCCATTCCATGAATTAAAAGTATGGTTAATTCATAAATATATATATATTTTTCACTCCAGCCTTGTGTGTGGTTGCTTGAGGAGTAGCTTTTCAAGTTGAATTCCTTAAGCAAACTCAGTGTTTTCAAAGCAGTAGTATTTTTCTGCTCCAGATCTGCTTCTCCGAGCTTCCTTCTATTTCCCTTTGTGGTAACTAGGACTTGTGACAACTTAGACTCCTTCCTTAGTAATGAAGACCTGTAGACTGGTTTTCCTATGTATGTCTAAAATCCATTTATTCCTTTTAATCTCTACTGCTTCTGCTTTAGCTTAAGCCCCAATAATTTGTTGCCTGGAATGTTGCAATAATTTCATTATGCTTTTCTTCTGCCTGTTTTTCAAATTTCCAGCTCTGGTGGCATAGTGCCTAGGCATTTGACTGCTAACCAGAAGGCTGGCGGTTCAAACCCACCAGCCACTCCTTGGAAGGAAGATTGGGCAATCTACTTCCGTAATGATAACTGCCTTGGAAACCTAAGGAGGGGTCGCTATGAGTCGGATCCGACTTGATGGCAGTGAATTGGTTCTTTTGGTTTTGGTACTCTATATTGTCACCAAGGCTGCCGTGTACTTTCCTGCTTGTTGCTTGCTGGATGAATTTCAAACTTTTTAATTTGGCATCTACCAGGTTTCCTGTTTTATTGTTTGCTATGTTCATTACCAAGTACTCAAATTATAATAAATCATTTACGTTCTATAAATAAAATTTTTGTATCTCCATGGGTTTGCATTCTTTTCTGTTACCTTGGAAAGTCCTAAACTTGGCTGACGTAGAATATTCTTCTTTACAGACCATAGATTATTTCAAGAATATTTCATGAAATTTCCTCTCAGTTCTTCCTCCCAAAGTTATGTATTTTCTTCTCTATACTCCCATATTATATATTTTTTTAAAATTGTAATTTTATTATGCTAGAATTATTTATTCCTGACATTAGGGAGCAGACCTCTGACAACAGGTAGACATTCCGTATCTAATTTAAGACATTCAGCATTGCACACTGAGCCATAGCCATGTCACTAGTCTTGTGCTAGATTCTGGAAACACAGAATTGAAAAAGAATCACTTTTACGGAACTTACTCTAATAGGAGAGTTAGACTATAAACATAAAATGTTACAAATGAGGAACAGAATGTTTGAAAAATATGGTTTTATTTTTGTTTATAGAGAGAAGGAAAGCAAGCTGGGAAGAAGTGTGTGTATGATTAAAGAGATTTAGTGTGATAAGGAAAAACTGGCTCATATAATAGAGTTCATTGTCTGGGTGAATTTACTTGACTCATCATTAGTAAAGCTAACAACTGAATTTATTAGAATATGTTGCTTGCAAAGTAGGAGTATTCATTGAAATTTATTATAGAGCATATACACTGGCATCTATCAAGGTCCAGGTACATAAGCAGGTCTTAGAAAAAACAAGTAGTGGACTAAGGCTTCTTTATGGGCTCCAGTATTAATGTGGCTTCCCAATTTTCAATACTTGCTCCATACTATTTTGATATACATTGCCAAAGGTTTTCAGTACTTTCATTTAAAAGTCAGAAGCCCATCAATCTGATTGATTCAGCTTAGTTTTCTCACAAGGTGACATCATTGGCCACAGCCAGTCCATGGATTGATTCATTCATAACCTACCCAATCAGCTATGGAAAGTGATTGTTTCCCTTATAAAGGACAGGTGTATGTCATACATTATGTATAGTATAATTTGATTGGATATAAAGGAGCCCAATGGGTGGGAAGCAAAAGACAGTAGAAATGGAGGGGCAACTGCATTTGTCAAACAGAATTATGTATAAAACTGTAACAGCAGCAGTTCTTTCAACAATTTTAATAAACAATAACTGGTTTGAGTGAAAAATTTGTATTTATTTGCCTCATCAACTCTGTTGATATGAGCATATAGTCTAGTGACACATTTAGTTCATATATATCATTTTACAGCCAAAAAAATCATTAATTTTTTATGGTAATATAACTTTATTAAGCTATACTGCCACGCTTGAATTTTAGTCTGTGTTATGCTAGCATGCCATAAAATTATACGATTTGTCTTGTTATCTTTTTAATATACAGGCTGCTTCATATTGCTCGGAAACAGCTTTAATTCATATAGCTGATATTTTAGCAAGAATTGCATCTGTAGAAGAAGGTCTTATTTTACTTCTTTATGGAGAGAATGTGAACTCTTCCGAAGAAGAAAAGTATGTACCTAAATTAAATAATTTATTTTTTAAATATATTTTCTCTGTTTGATTAAAAGTTTCCAAAATATCATACAAATAATGAATATCTGAATTGCTACTCTAGTTTAATATCCTGACCAGCCACCAGTAAAATATTAGATGACCTTTAGAAGATTGAAGGAGTAACCAGGATTATAGATTGTGCTGGCAGAGTAGACTAGATGTCCACGATTTCAAAATAAGAATAAGAAAGTCCACTCTAAGTGGGGGCCTCTCTCGTTATGTGTTTCCTTGGACTTTCTGTTTTAAATTTCTGAAGCCACATATGATTGATTCAGAGTCAACTTGTGGTGGTTATGTTTGTGTGTCAACTCGGCTGGGCCTGGTTGAGTGGGTGGGTAGCTGGTAGTGGTTATTCCCCATGATGAGACTGGCAATCAACTCCATGGTGGGACCTACCACAAGCAGCTGAGTAACTGCTTTAGGGATGTGGTCTGCTTCTCATATATAAGAAGCAGCTTTGGGAATGGTCTCTAGCTTATAGCACATTTGAACCTTGCATGTAGCTGTGTTGTTGTGCAGCAGCCTCCCATACTCTGCCAGCCTTGGGACTTACAATGGACTTGCGTTAATGGCCTGCTGTGCCGTTTGGTAACATTGCGACTGTGCCATTTTATTTGTCGATCTTGGGCCTGTTAACCTCAGCAGCTAGTAGCTGCCTGAGTGAAGAGATGCCTATTTCAGTGGGCAAGGAGCAAGAGGCAGAGCTGAAGCCCAAGGTCAAGGGGCTTTCACTCAGCCCCTAGAGCCTGACACTTTGAACTTGGACTTCTAGTCTCCCGAACTGTAAGAGAATAAACTCGTGTTTGTTTAAGCCATCCCATTTGTGGTATATTCTTTTCAGAGTGGCACTAGGTAACCAGAATGCAACTACACAAAGGTGCACAAAGAAGTTAATTATTTCCCCTTTTCCTTTTCTTTTCACCTAGTTCCATTATCTGGCTAACCCACTGTAATAATTTAATGTCACTAAAATGTTCCTAGGAAGAAAGGTTGGGCAATCTACTTCTGTAGTGATGTTGTTGTTGTTAAGTGCCGTCGAGTCGTTTCCGACTCATAGTTACCCCATGCACAGCAGAACGAAACACTGCCCGATCCCGTGCCAGCCCCACAATCCCTGCTATACTTGAGCCCATCATCGCAGCCACCGTATCAATCCATGTCCTTGAAGGCCTCCCCCTCTTTCGTCGACCCTCCACCCTCCAAGCATGACATCTTTCTCCAGGGAATGGTCCCTTCTTAAAACATGACCAAAATAGATGAGACGAAGTCTGGCCATTCTTGCTTCCAAGGAGCATTCTGGCTGCACTTCCTCCAGGACAGATCTGTTAGTTCTTTTAGCAGTCCACGGTACTTTCTGTGGTGATACTGCCTGGGAAATCCAAGGAGAGGTCGCTATGAGTCGGGTCTGACTCGATGGCACATAACAACAACAACAACAACAAAATGTTCCTAATTTATTCCATGCTTATAATGATGCCCCAAACATACATCTACATTTATAGAATTTTCATCTACCCTTTGCTAAAATGGTGTAGGTTCTTGAGAGGAGCAAAACCAGTGAAACATATACCTGTTGTGTTGTTAGGTGCCGTTGAGTCATCTCTGACTTACAGTGACTCTATATACAACAGAACGAAATACTGCCCAGTCCTTTGCCAGCCTTACAATCCTTTCTATACCTGAGTTCATTGTGGCAGCCACTATGTCAATGCATGTAGTTGAGGGCCTTCTCCTTTGCTGACCCTCCACTTTACCAAGCATGGCATACTTCTCCAGGGAATGGTCTATTCTGACAACCTAACCAAAGTAGGTGAGATGAAGTCTGGCCATTTTCACTTCTAAGGAGCAGTCTGGCTGCACTCCCTCCGGGACAGATTGGTTTGTTCTTCTCACAGTCCTGGTAGTTTCAGTATGCTTTGCCAACACCATGACTTAAAAGCATCAACTCCTCTTCCATATGCCTTGTTCACTGTCTAGCTTTCACATGCATATGAGGTTATGGAAAATACAATGGCTTGAATTAGGCACACCTTAGTCTTCAAAGAGATATCTTTGCTTTTCAGCACTTGAAAGAGGTCTTTTGCAGCAGATTTGCCCAGTGCAGTACGTCATCTCGTGTCTTGACTGCTGCTTCCATTGGTGTTGATTGTGGAACCAAGTAACATGAAATCTTTGACAATGTCAATCTTTTCTCCATTTATCGGGATGCTGCTTATTGGTCCAGTTGTGAAGATTTTCATTTCCTTTATGTTGAGGTGTAATTCATACTGCAGACTGTAGTCTTTGATCTTCATCAGTAAGTGCTTCAAGTCATCCTAACTTTCAGTAAGAAAAGTTGTGTCATCCTCATGTCACAGGTTATTAGTTAATTAATTAATCCAGCCCTGATGCCATATTCTTCTTCATATAGTCCAGCTTCTCTAATTATTTGCTTAGCATATAGACTGAATAAGTATGGTGAAAGGATACAACCCTGACAAACACTCTTCCTGATTTTAAACCATGCAGTGTCCTCTTGTTCTGTTTGAATGACCACTTCTTGGTCTGTGTACAGATTCCTCATGAGCACAATTGAGTGTTCGGGAATTCCCATTCTTCTCAATGTTATCCATAATTTGTTATTATCTACACAGTTGAGTGCTTTTGCATAGTCAATAAACCCCAAGTACATATCTTTCTGGTATTCTTTGCTTTCAGCTAAGATCCATCTGACATCAGCAGTGATATCCTATATTCTACATCCTCTTCTGAATCAGCTTACATTTCTGGAAGCTGTCTGTCAATATACTGCTGCAACTGTTTTTAAATTATCCTCAGCAAAATTTTACTTGTTTTTGATATTAGTGATATTGTTCGATAATTTCACATTCTGTGCAATAAACTTCCTTTGGAATGGGTATAGATATGGATTTCTTCAGTCATTTGGCCAGTAGCCGTCTTCCAGATTTCTTGGCATAGATTAGTAAGTACCTTCAGTGTGGCATCTGTATGTTGAAACATCTCAGTAGGTATTTTATCAATTCCTGGAGTCTTGTTTTTCATGAATTTCTTCAGTGCAGCTTTGACTTCTTCCTTCAATACTAGTGGTTCTTGATCATATGCCACCTCCTGAAATGGATGAACATCAACCAATTCTTTTTGGTACAGTCATTGTGTGTATTCCTTCCATCTTCTTTGATGTTTCCTGCATCATTCAATTATTTTGCCCATAGAATCTTCCAGTGTTGCAACTCGAAGCTTAAATTTTTCCTCAGTTCTTTCAGGTTGAGAAATGCTGAACATGTTCTTTCCTTTTGGTTTTGTAATTCCAGGTCTTTGCACATTTCATTTTAATAGTTGACTTTGTCTTTTTGAGCTATTCTTTGAAATCTTCTGTTCAGCTCTGTTGTCATTTCTTCTTTTTGCTTTAGCTATTTTCTGTTTAAGAACAAGTTTCAGAACCTCTTCTGACATCCATTTTGATCTTTTCTTCCTTTCCTGTCTTTTTGCTGTCCTTTTGCTTTCTCAGTGTGTCAAATCTCTTCTTCAGATGGTCTCTGAATTCACATGGGATATAATCAAGGTCATATTTCTGCTCTTGTGAACTTGTTTTAATTGTCTTCATGTTCAGCTTGAACTTGCATGTGAGCAGTGGATGGCCTGTTCCACAGTCAGCTCCTGGCCTTGTTTTGACTGAAGATACTGAGCTTCTCCATCACCTCTTTCCACAGATGTAGTCGGTCTGGTGAGGTCACATGGATAGCCGCCATTTATGTTGTTGAACAAAGGTGTTGCAATGAATAAGTCATTGGTCTTGTAAAAGTCTGTCATGTGATCTCCAACATTATTTCTTTTACTAAGGCCATATTTTCCAGCAACCTGTGATTCTTCTTTGTTTTCAACTTTCACATTCCAATCACCAATAATCATCAGTACATCTTGGTAGCATATTTGCTCAATTTTAGACTGCAGAAGTTGGTAAATATCTTCAAATTCTTCATCTTTGGTGTAGGTGGTTGGTGTATAAATTTGAATAATAGTAGTATTAACTGGTCTTCCTTGGAGGCGTATGGATATTATCCTATCAGTGACAGCATTGTATTTCAGGTTAGATCTTGAAAGTTTTTTTTGTGATCATCAGTGCCACGGCATTCCTCTTCATTTTGTTATTACTGGCATATGATAGTAGATCATATGGTTGTCTGATTCAAAATGGCCACAGCCAGTCTGTTTCAGCTCACTAATATCTAGGATATCAATCTTTACGTGTTCCATTTTGTTTTTTAAGTAGCTGTGGTGGTGCAGTTCCTAAGGCATTTGACTACTAACCTAGAGGTTGGTGGTTCAAATCCACCAGCTGTTCCATGGAAGAAAGATGGGGCAATCTACTTCTGTAAAGATTTACTTCCTTGGAAACCCAAAGCAGAATCAAGTTGATGGCAGTGAGTTTGGTGGTTTTTTTTTTTTTTTTTTTTTAATTTTGTTTTGGAAACTTCCAGTTTTCCTCAATTCTTTCTTTGTATATTCCATGTTCTGATTATTAATGGATGTGTGCATCTACAATCAATTGTGAGTTATGCCCCATTAGCAAATGGAGGTCTTGAAAGCTTTACTCCATCCACATCATTAAGGTCGGCTCTACTTTGAGGAGGCAGCTCTTCCCCAGTCATACTTTTATTTTCCAAACTGGGAGGCTCATCATCTTTCAGTGGTATTCATAAGGTTTTCACTGGCCAGTACTTTGAGAAGTAGATAGTCCCTTCCTTCTTCCAAGTCTGTCTTAGTGGAAGCTGTACTGAAACCTTTCTACCATGGGTGACTCTGCTGGTATTTGAAATACCAGTGGTATAGCCTCCATCACAGCAACACACAAGCCACCATAGAATGACAGACTGACAGACGAGTGGTGGATATAAATACATGCAGAGTGAGATTCATTTCAAGGAAATGACACATGCAGTTATGGAGGCTGGCGAGTCCTGAATCCATTGGTCAGGCATTAGGCTTGAGGCTTTTCTTGGCTCATATGGTTGCAGGGGCTGGCAAATGCACAATCACTAGGTAAGATGGCAAACTGCTGGCTCTTGGGGCTGCAGGAGCTGATGCACATAAAAATCTGCGGTCACATCTGAAGAACTGGAGGTAGGATAATAAAGAGTTATGTGCAGGATTGAGAGCGGGCAGGCTTTACTAGAATATCCATATAGGCTTACCTCAGAGGTATTGCTGGTTCAGTCCCAGACCACTTCAATAAAGGGAATATTGCAGGGAAGCACGTCACTCAGCTCTTCTGACTTTCTAGTGCATATAACAACAACAATGGTGCATATAAAAGTAATATTTGCAGTATACTATAGTCTAGTAAGGAGCTCTGGTAGCATAGTGCCTAAGGCACTTGACTGCTAACCAGAAGGCTGGTGGTTCAAACCCACCAGCCACTCCTCGGAAGGAAGGTTGGGCATTCCTACTTCCGTAGTGATACTGCCTCGGAAACCCAAGGAGGGGTCGCTATGAGTCGGGGCCGACTCGATGGCAAATAATAACAACAACAACATAGTCTAGTAAGTACGTGTATTATGTAAAAATTTGAAATATCATGAGATTTACCAAAATGTGACAGAGACATGATGTGAGCACATGCTATTAAAAAATGATGCATGTAGACTTGCTTGAAGCAGGGTTGCTATAAACCTTCAATTTGTAAAAAACATAGTATCTGCAAAGTGGTATTAAATGAAGTACAGTAAAACAATGTATGACTGTATATATTGAGTACAGGGCACACCCCCAAGGAAATTACTCTTGTAACTGATTGGCTGCTTATATCAGACCAGAGAATGGGGGATGATAACATATTATCTGCCAAATTACTGAGAATCATGACCTAGCCAAATTGACATGTAACCTTAGCCATCACTAAACCAAAAACCAGACCTATTGCCATGGATTTGATTCTGATTTAGAGTGACCATGTAGGACAGAGTAGAACTGTGCCATATAGTTTCTAAGACTGTAAATATTTGTGGAAGCAGACTGCCTCATCTTTCGCCTGTGGAGAGGCTGGAAGGTTCAAACTAGCAATCTTTTGGTTACCAGCCAAATGCTTTAGGTGCCACCAGCGCTCCTTTCAACCATCACAGGCACCACACATACATTGCTCTGCATTTTGCTCCATTTTTTATGTAGCATAGCATCTTTCCAGGTGAGTACAGAATAAAACAATTATTTTTAATAGCTATTTTTAATAACACTTTTTGTATGACTTTATCATAATTTATTAAAAATTTTCGCCATTAATGGGCATTTAGGTTTAAGTTTATTTTTTAAATATCTTACATTCTTGCCTTTTTGTTTTTTAAATATCAATAGGATAGATTTCTGAAAGTAGTATTTGTAGGTCAAGGGCATGTACATTTTAAATTTTGAAATATTACCAGTTTGCTTTCCAGGATTTCTTCTGAACCTTCATTGTTCAGTGGTTAATAGTACATATCCTGATTATGTACATAATAAGCTAAACACTGAAATAATCTCAAATGTCCAGTAACAAGAGGATAATTGATTAAATTATGTGTGTAAATTGGAGCACTAAGCAGATGTAATAGGGAATGAAGGGTATTTTGTGTATTGGCTCTGGAGTTATCTTAAGGATATAATACTAGTAAGTAAAAAAAAAAAATAGTAGGTTGTTTATAGAATGCCATCTTTTGAATAAGAGAGGAGATATGGATAAATAAAACCACACTTGATTATATTTTTCAAAAATTAGTAATGAAATGATAAACTGAAAATTTATAATAATGGTTGCTTTTAAGAGAAGGGAAAGAATATCATGGAGAGGCAGGTATGGAATTCCAATGCCTGGGATTATACTTTCTTATACCTGGATTTGATTTTGGAATCATGTAACTGTTTTACATATTTGAAACAAAATTAAATCAAAAAGAGAAAAAGTTCCAGTCCTTAAAAATTGTACACAATTGGAAGTAAGTGAATTTAAGTATTAAACCATCAAGTTAGTGATATATTCAGAAAGAGAAAAGAATTACTTCAAGTGATGTAATTTTTGGTGGAGCATTTCTAGTGGGATATTCTAAGGTAAAACCAAAAATAAATAAATAAATAAAGCCTTAAAGATCTTAAACTGCATTCTCAGTATATTTTTAGAAGTAGTATTAGTAGTGGTATTTTGAGAATATTTCTTGTGTTTACTAAGAGAAAGTAAATAAGTCATTATATTAATGTCATAAGAACCTAAAATTTTTAGTATAAGAGAAAAAAAATATAAAAGAAAATTAAAAGAGTTAAATAAAACCCTGTAATCTTAAATTCAAAATGGAAATAAAAGTATAAACTTACCGTTTTTTCTCTTAAAAATTACATTTTTTTCTAGCACTACCACCAAAGAAAGGAGTTCTGGTGGCATGGTGCCTAAGGCATTTGTCTACTAACCAGAAGGCTGGCTGTTCAAATCCATCAGCAGCTCCTCAGTAGGAAGTCTGGGCAATCTACTTCCATAGATATACTGCCTCTGAAACCCAAGGAGAGGTGGCTATGAGTCAAAATCAACTTGCTGGTAGTGAGGTTTTTTTTTTTTTTTGAAAGAAACACCAAAAGGGCCTAAAATAGTGACAGATTCATAGCAATGAGCTGGGACCCAGATTATGTCTCAATTTTTTTTCTCCACTATAATAAGGCAAAACAAAACAAAACAGAAAAAAACCTCACTGCCATTGAGTCAATTCTGACTCATAGTGACTCTTTTAGGACAGTGGAACTGCCCAGAGTTTGCAAAGCTGTAAATCTTTATGCAACTGCTTTGTATTTCTCTTGCAGAATGGCTGATGGGTTCCAACTGCCAACCTTTTGTTTAGCAGCCAAATGCTTTAACTACTACTGCACCAGAGCTCCTTAAAGATGAGGCAGGGATCCTTAAAGAAGTGGTTGTTTCTGAGTGTGGGCCAGAAAATCTACAAGGTGATCATAGGATATCTTACTGTTTGAATAGGCAAGGAAGCCATCTAAAACTAAGGGGACAGTGTCAAAGATACCTCAGTACTAACCAGAAAGGGCCTCTCACTGGCTGAAGACGGGCAGTTGGAGGGTCAAAAAATATTAACTAAAAAGGGTTGAAATACATAAAGTGCTTTATGTATTTCAAAAAGGTATTTAAAAGATCGGTTTACTTGTTGAGGTTGTTATAGCACTAACTCATTACTTTGCAAATTTTTTTTTTTTTTTTTTTTTTAAAGATTAAAGCATTTCTCTGGCCTTTCCTGGACAAACTGTATTTTAGTATAACTAAAAGAAGAATTCCAGCTAATAGATGCAAAAATAATGATACATTTAGAAAATTTCCTTTTGGTAACTTCTAGTGAAAAAGTAGGAGCTCTGGTAGCATAGTGGCTAAAAGCACTTGACTGCTAACCAGAAGGCTGGCGGTTCAA